TTCAGTGGGATGCCTAATACTGTAAGTCATGAAATTAATGCGAGCATTTTATTAATTGAAATATGCGTCTGTACTCTTCTCGCATTATTATAATGACGCATTTCAGTCTGACCATGTCTACTTTTGAGAACTTAATAGAAGACAGAAAACGTAAACCTGTAGTCTTCATCGTCTTCGGGTTAGCATTCATCACAACAGTACAGAATATAATAACAATTTAGACATCTCTCATAAAATTAATCGACAAATGAGGACTAATTTCCATGACACTAATTATATCCACTGAACTTATTCATCGGCAAATTATGCAACAATAGCGGTAGTGTTGACACTACACATTACACCAGTACAGGTCACTTCCTCATTACAGGTATCTCAAGCCACATGTAATTATCACTGGTTACAATTACTGGTCATTGTTTAACGCCACTCAAGCACATCAGCCAGACCGGACATTCTCCAGCCACTTGTTTGTTGTACCTTGGTAGATGACTTGTGTCTTTCAAGTTGGATTACGTTTATACATGTTGTCATAAGACAAGTAGTAGCAAGCAAAAACGTGATCAAACATGACAGCGTAATCAAAACGTCGTCAGCTCATTTCCATTCATTGCTTAACAAGCTCACTTCAGGTTATTTGGTAAATAACAAGTGTGAAAAGAAAAGGAACAACATTAAATATTCAGAGTGTCACATCTTATCATTAACACAGATTCCTGAGCTCGCATTAATTTCTTGACCCATTTATTTCATGATTTACAGTAGTATATCCAGAAATGCATGTTTACTGGTAAAATTCGGCAAAACTCAGAAAAAATCTGATTAGATCAGACTATAGATGGCTTTAGGTCGCTTACAGTCCGTTTGAGTCAGAAACGGACTGATGAATTGCAAATTTTATCATTGTACAAAATTGCCACATAAATATAAATAATACACATGTTTATCATTTACTAATACCCAACAGCTTTCTTATATTTGTAAATTTTCCGGACTCCACCAAAAAAGTTCCTTAAGAAACTATCATCATTGAAAACGCAAAAGTTGTTATCTGTTGCGGCGGGGTGAAACCGCAGAAACAGAACAGCCAGTCATGGTGGGGGACATCTCAAAATCTATTCCGGGAGACCTGTCGGTTCCTCGTCTGTCGTAGTGTCATAGTCACGACTTAAAGGGATAACAAGTGGTGCCACAGTTGCCTGTTGTAAGCCATCTGGAGACCAGTAACCTTGTTCAATGACGTTAGCTACCTTGTTGACACAGTTTTGCCAAGTTTCAGTCGTGATTTTGTTAAGGGATTCCTTAACCAAAACCTCTACGACACGTAATCTAAAAGTTGTGATTGATCTGGCAACATCTCCTTTGACAATACCCCATATCATTTCAATGGGGTTAAGGTCACAGTGATAGGGTGGAATTCGCAGAATATCTTGACCCTTACTTTTTATGTAACTGTCAACTGTGTAAAAAGGTTCACCTTTGTGGGTTTTTATGATCTCATATAGCTGAGGCTTCGTTGCCTTTGACTGACTGACTGAGTTTGGTTTTACGCCGCTTTTAGCAATATTCCAGCAACATCGCGGCGGGGGACACCAGAAATGGGCTTCACACATTGTACCCATGTGGGGATTCGAACCCGGGTCTTCAGCGTGACGAGCCAACGCATTAACCATTAGGCTACCCCACCGCCCTCGTTGCCTTTGAAGGCCGTGCGATCTGAAATTTGTCGAGCCATGATATCATATCACCTTTTTGACTGTTCGATGTCGGGGCTTTACTGTCGGGGTCCTGCAGGCTGTGGTATGGGGCATTGTCCATTACGATAAAAGACTTCTCTGGTAGAGCTGGTACCAACTTGTTTTTAACCCAATCGAGGAAAACCGCACCATTCATCTCGGAATGGTAGTCTCTGTTATCTGTAGACTTTGCCCTGAATACCAAGTCGCAGCCTGGGAGAAAGCCTTTGCTGGAGCAACCAGCATGGAGAATGATTAGTCTCTCTTCTTTCCCTAGAGGCAGCTTTCTACGTGACCCCTTATCACCCCCATCGGGTACCCACTGACTGCTGGCAGTGTGTGAGGCATTGACCCAGGTCTCGTCCAAGTACACTAGCTCGAACCCTTCCTCGCGCTTCTTCTTTATAACCCTGAGAAAATTATTTCTCAAGCGAACGATATCAGGGCGTTCACAGAGTTCTGACCTATTCTCCCCCGAAATTTTCTTATAACGATACCCGAAAGAGTGTAAGAGTCGCCAGAGTGTGTACTTTGATACTCTGAGGTTGTGTTCTTGCTTCAAATGCTTTTTTAAAATATTCAGCGACATGTATTTGTTTTCAGAATAGAGCTTGTTGATTGACTGCCTTACAAGGTTCTTTTGAAAGTTGTCCAAATGTTTTAATTTGTGTGATTTTGACACGACCCCTACCTGCTTCGCATCACCCTCACAATGTTTGTGTTCCAGAACATTTGGTCAGTACCCTTGCTGATACTCCTAAAGCTTTTGCTGCCCGCTTACGGAATTTATTAATGGCATAAAATGGTTTGCCCCTTTCAGCTTCAGCACGGAAAAATCGTACACTTTAATCATCAACTGTTTCACATCAGCATTCAACTTCATTTTTCATCAGGCATGTGTATCCCGTGCACGACGAGATAGTGGCTGTTCCGTTTCTGCGGTTTCACCCCACCGTGACAGATAACAACTTTTGCGTTTTCAATGATGATAGTTTCTTTAAAGGTCACATGCAACCAAAAAATCAAACATAATTAAAACACAATTATCACTTCTTCATGACATATAATATGCATTGCTGATTATGAAAAAACAAATAAACAAAATTATAAGCGTATAATCGCAAATCAAAAGTGCAATATTTTGTACTTGGGTTTACCTCCCTCGAAACGAAGCAGCCGGGATACCGAACCCAGTCAGAGCGGGTGGGTGTGCACTCAAGTGTAACGGCTGGTTCATTAGCAGATGCCTCCTTCACGGGTCATTGTGTGTGTATATATAGAAAGTTGGGTTTTGTAAATACATGCTCATTTTTTGTGTATAACATTTTGCAATCAACAGACATCATAACATGTCATGTGTTCAAATATCACACCTGCCTGTCTGTGTAATTACATAATGTGACAGAGACCGAACTCGGGCCATAAATCAATGCGTTTTGTTTATGGTGTATAGCCTGATTGGTGTTAAGTTCAAATTGCATGTGGTCAGTGATCGCAGTTGTGTATTGAATATGGTCATTAGCAGACAGGCAGGCAGACACACTGGTGTCAATAAAACAAGACATTGAGTTTTGTCTGTGACAGCGACATATCTATATCACAGTTAGAAATCGTGTCAACTCTAAATAATGCTTTTAAGTATCGAACTGAGAAAGTGACTCGGTAAGAAGAACGTGTGGTGAAATAGACAAATGAAATTATATAAACAGTTTATTTACTGTCATAACATACAAAAAAGCTCGCGCCTGTGAGATATCAACAAAACATTAGGAAACTAGCTCACACCAAAGCCTTCACAGAGTATTCACCAGACAGCCCGCTTCCAAGTTGCGCGAACCTATTTCACTGCGCACGTGCTAAGAGCGCAGCCAGCTGTTGAAACCCGTATTCCCCAGAAAAGTCGGGGGAAAATTAGTGAAACGTTTGAACTCCGATTTCGCGCGTTTTTTTTCATCTCGTTATTTTTCAACTTTATAAGTTGAATTTGCATTTTTTGACGCTTTGTTTCGGTAAGTCCATACCGAAAGGTATCAGAATCTGCAAAGTTGTGTTTTACGTTGCATGTGACCTTTAAGAACTTTTTTGGTGGAGTCCGGAAAATTTTCAAATATAAGAAAGCTGTTGGGTATTAGTAAATGATAAACATGTGTACTATTTATATTTATGTGGCAATTTTGTACAATGATAAAATTTGCAATTCATCAGTCCGTTTCTGACTCAAACGGACTGTAGTCAGGTATGACGACGGACCCTGGACTCACCTGGCATGAAATGCATGTGCTGCCTACGAGCACAGGGGTCATCTCAAACATATTTCATGCTTGTACATGTATGTTGAATATGTCTCATCTATTGATTAACATCCTACCGGTACGTGTCTTTCTTTCATAAAGTTTATGTTGAGATATGTAAAAGAGTATGATACCCATAGAAAAGCTTAAATCAGTCATCGTATTAAATGTCTCAAAATATATAGGTGGTATGACCTCACGAAGATCGACAGGACTAGATATTACTTGTACATTGTTATGACATGCCCTTTATATCTCCAGTTTAATTCCTCTAAAGGATTATCTTACCTTAGTTGATATCTCTATTCCCCAGCCCGACCCCAACCGACGTCTGCGACACCTGTCCTGGTTTTCCTACCTGTTTCTTTTCAAAGTGACAGTGAGACTCCATAGTAGCTACATCCGTAATAGTTTCAGTACTAAAGTTATTATGTTTTACGTCAGCTATCGTTTTTAATGAAGCAAAGTCTAATTTCCAAATGGGCATTTAAAAAGTGTCCTTTGTAATACAATATCATTGCACACTAATAAGTCGCTTTGGACTTAACTGCATTGCTCATTTCTGCACTAATCACTCCTCAGTAAAGTCCTTTTTCTACGTTTCCTATCTCCCTACCACTGAGACTCTAGTTAGGCCGAACTTATTTTAACAGTTATTTCAAACTTTCATATGTTAACTACATAAATTGTAGATATAAATGTGAAAAAACAGTGTTTTTGTATTTCTGACAGTACTTTATGACTTGTCATCAAGGTAGCTACGGGAATAGGTTTAAAAGCTTTCTAAGTTTTGCAAACATATGTCTGATTTGATAAGCAAATGAGTATTTAATTTCAAAATATGTTTTAAGATAAGACTGAATTATCCCAATTGAAGTTTTGTTTACAGAAGCCCAAGTTCTCGGTGAAATAAATGATTAGATTTGTTACTTGCAGAATGTAATGACACTATAGTTTCTCTTTAAATTTTTAGGCACTTGGTTCCTTTGATTTGAATTCGATGCAGTCACAGATTGAGAGCTTCACCAAGGACGTTACGGTTTATGACAGATACAGGTAAGTTTTATGGTTAAAAAGGTTTATGGTTATGAAGTTTTTGAAAGGCATTTAGGAGTTGGATGAATGTGAATACATGACGTGTTTTTATGGATGACAACTTCTATAATTCTTTGTATGACGTTTTAGAGCTGATTCTTACTCCTTCAATGCAGTACTGAAAGATAATGTTGGTACCAAAGTCTAACAGAAACTTGAATTGTCATCACTTCAGTGGTCCTAAACCATGTTGGAATACTGGAACATTACTAACAGGTAATTTCCAAAATTGTAAGAGATATTAGTTGTGAGTAAGAGTTGTGTGATGATAATGTATCAGGGATAAATCTACCCCTGCGTCCCGCGTCTCTGACGCAACAAATTCTGACAGGACTCATATTTATTTTACATGTGCGTCCTCTTGGACGCAAGCTTTTGATGAAACACTAATGTTTGTTTTTGTGGAGAGGCAATATCAAAGTATACATGGCTAAATCTCCGTAGATTAACTTCCATTCTCAAATAATTGACATGAGCTAATAAGTACACATTATTTGTAAAACGATCGCAGCTTTCATTCGTCATGATATTAAGTTCATTTCCGTGTTTCCAAAAATAGACATCTAGGTCACACCAAGGGAGGTAAGCGGTATGCAAATGAGATCCCAAGATTCATTGCTCGAGCATGTGCAGAACTACTAACCTAGTTTTTACACTCTATAAATAGACACAAACAGGCTAAGGGAGGTAAGCGATATGCAAATGACGTTTTTCAAGACAAACTGATTGGTCAATGAACATTGTGACTCTGAATCCACAGTGTGAAGACAAAATATGAGCTCTCAGTACCAGTTAGAGAAAAGCAGGAAGCTTTAGTCAGTAGCTTAACAACTGTTAAATCTATCTGCATGTAATTTGAAAGTGACATTTGACAGGTTAAATTTCTGTTTAGACAGAATGTCATTCTGTTTAAGGTTCTGCATCTCAAGTCCTGGGAAAGTAATCATATAAATGAATCATTTCATTTATAATTATGATGACATTAATGATATAATTTGTTTAATGTTAATAGTTAAAGTAAGACAGTTACTATTTGTGTTCATACTTGTTAAAGTGGCTTCCAGTTGGCATATTTCTTTTGATGTAATTTGTTTTTGAATCACTGAACAGAGTGAAGAAATAAAACAAAACTTTGGTTGGAATTGTAGAACTTTATGCACAAAATATTACAGTGAAGTTACATTGGTCTGGCTAGTAACTTTTTTATTTTTCTAGTAAAAGAAAACATTTGATTGTCAAAGGTCTAGAGCCCTGCTGTTATTTTTATAATATAGCAGTCAACATGCCAAGATAGATACTGTCAGAAAACACAAAGTTAGGACATTTCAGTCAGGTTGGCCTGATACTCATCGGTTATGGCTGACTTATGACAGGGAAGGTGATTTAATATTTTGTACTATTTAATAACTATGTACTGAAAATGGTATGACACAAGATGCTAAATGCAGAAAGTTTTAAAATATAACTTTGACCAGACATCTGATCATAATGATAATAAACTGTCCGTTCAGGCTCCAAAACTTTGTGATGATTTCCAGGTTGCAACTGCTCGTATGTATGAAAAACAAGACAAAGCAGCTGTCGCCTTGATGAAATCTGTTCATTGGTTAGCTTGTGAAAACATCCCACTGACAAAGTTTAAACGCTTTGTTGACTTTTTATATGAATTTGAAAACGAAAACACTGAAATTCTCAAGGAAGGTAAAATCAACTATGATTCTCCAACCACTGCCAGTGATCTGTTAACATCTGTGTTTGATGTGATAGGGTATGAACTACAAGTTAAAATGGAAGAGTCTCCATTTGTTACGATTTAGGTACTACCAGCTCTGTTCTGTGAAATATCCCAGACCGGTCAGACTCACCTGTGCAACCTATAGTAACAATAAACCAGTTTGAATAATATTGGTGGCATTAAGTTTTGTTAGGGACTCATAAAAGTTCTGAGGGACTCATAGTTATTCAGCTCAGTGAGTCCCGGGACTCAGGCAGTTGAATTTGTAGATTTATCACTGATGTATGAATTGGGGACACACTAACAGCATGAAACATGACAGTTGATCTTGTAACTGCCAAGAGGACTTCATGGGTAAGATGGGAATTATCAAAGATTTTGGAGCAGTGCAGAACACCACGATTTGTCAAACATTTGATCTCTGGAAGAGGCATATAGTGTATGATTGATGAGTCATATGAGTCTGGCAATGTGACTTGAGGGATGATCCCACTCTTCTTGTAGAAAAAGCTCAGGTTCAGCTAACATGATCAGCAGCCCATGACATTGCACACATACATGTATCTTCATATTATGTTCCATACTAGTTGGAAATGCCCGGACTTATTTTTGGCCATAGCATCCTATGGATGTTGTGCTGCTAGAGGTGACCATTGATGACCATGCCTATAGAGGAAGTTCAAAATGTATCTGGAATATTTATTAATGCTATCCTAATAATAGTTTTGTTACAAAATACTGGTTTACAAGGTTACATAATGTAGAGGGCATTCCATCAACAATAATGATGGACAAAGTAATGTGGCACTAGTAGCTTGTCAGTCATAGTCACCTCATTTCCAAGTGATCCGTGAAGATCCGGGTAAAAAATTGGTCTTTAGTAACCTGATGATGCTTGTTGGAAGAGGCTATTAACAGGATCAGGTGGTCAGGCTCTCTGACTTTGCTGACACATGCCATCGTATCCCAATTGCGTAGTGTGATGCGCATGATGTTGATCACTGGATTGTCTGGACCAATAGCTGGAATATTGCTGAGTGCGGCGTTAAGCAACAAACCAAACAAACAATCAATTTAAGTCATGATTTCATCTTGAGACATAGTTTATTATTCTCCTTCTTGTCACAGCCATTCAGCCCCGACGTGGGTACCAGGTTTGTGTATATTTGAGAACATCCACATCATGGATAAAAATACTGGCAAGTCCAAGTAAACAGACTATTTCCCAGCAAGACCAGATTAGCACTGAGCTTCTGTAACAATCGTTCGAGTTTATAATGCTTTGTCTATAACTCAGCCACTTATGATGAACTTACAAAAGCAACTCGGTTGAAGCCATCAAATCCCAAGCTGTACATTCTGTTATATATATAACAATCTGTTCCTTCAAGTGAATGTCCCTCACCTCAAGCTAAGTCTTATTACAATAAGTATACTTATAAATATATAAAAGTTTACATTATATTTCCATCATCACCCGTAACAGAGTAAGTCACCACTGTCTGATGAGCAGAATCAAAAAAGGTTGACAGTAATAATAGTCCACAGAGAGTTATTGACCTTATTCAAAGGTGTCAGAAGTTGGGATGACACCCTCTGCATATGTTTGGCACTACTACGTGCAAACGATAGGATGTGTTTTGTTTAGTTTTCCACACATAAACATTCTTGCAGGGGATGTTTGTATTTGTTCAAATACTTGGTATTAGCCTATATTTCCTAATCCCCTACTTTTTTTAAAGAGCATGATTGGTCTTTTTTTTCAGGTGGTATGCAGGGATTGGCCTGACTTCACTCATAATCCTTATAGTGTTACTTTTGTTCCTTGGTCTCACTTGTGGTGTATGTGGCAGCAGTGCATCCGACCTTCCCACAGAACGAGGTTGTCTCTCTAATTGTGGAGGAAATCTGCTGATGGGGTAAGCAAGAAAACCTTTTGATCCAAACTATGGTCTCTGGGTCAAAATGATACCGATGAATCACAATCTAACTCCAAATTGGTTCATGATCAAACATGATCGTGATTGAAAAGTTACCTAACAAACTATCAGCATATTGTTTTGATTTTCAGTGGGAGGTTAAAGAGGGTAAGATAACAGTTGCAGGAACAGCCTCAAGGGCGGGAATAAATAGCCCATGTGGGGGTTGAGAATGCTAAACATGGTGGTTACATTGTCTTCTGAGGGGGCACCGTCACCAACAATCTTAAAGGCCATCTCGACATAACAAGCCGACCTTGCAACACAGTTAAATTGTGCCTTGGTACTTGTGCCCATCCTGCGCCTTTGTTCGTTCAACTTCAACTCAGGTGGCAATCTAATACGCTGAAGGGAGTCCGTCTTTGCTTGGAACTGCCTTTGAATTTCTAGAGAATCCGCAGAATCAGGGTTACCTTGAGATTGGATGGATTCGCGGTCTGCACTACTGGCAGCCGGGGTCGATTCAGCTGAATGGACGGTTGACAACACATGATAGGAAAACAATAAAGATTGTTGCTGAAAATGCTGCTCTGGGTTGTTTTGTCGGAGAAGAACTGTATTGAGTTTGTCAGCAATTTCTTCTAATGAAACTGTGTTTTTGGGTCCATGTCTGACATTTTGTCTCCTAGCGGGGAATACACAGAGTGAGACTGGTCACATGATTACACATTGAATATAGTCAATCAGCTAGACCAAAGGTAGTCCCAGGTAACATATATAATTTCTTTCACATGTCACATTCCAACAGATGCCGCAGTATTTCTGGTTAATTGTAGTTTAAGTTGAAAATCACGATGAATATTACAGAGCACTTTGACAAACAGTATTTTAACACAATGTTGTTCTTTTCCTAGGGCTGTGTGCTTAATCTTTATGTTTTCCTGGCTGTTGATGCTGCTGACAACCCTCACCTTCATAATTGGAGCACCACTAGAGCGATTTGTGTGTCAACCTCTTTCTGATCCTGAGTTGACCATCTTCACCAAGGTTAGTGCACACTTAACATACACTGATAGATCCTGAGTTGACCATCTTCACCAAGGTTAGTGCACACTTAACATACACTGACAGATCCTGAGTTGACCATCTTCACCAAGGTTAGTGCACACTTAACATACACTGATAGATCCTGAGTTGACCATCTTCACCAAGGTTAGTGCACACTTAACATACACTGATAGATCCTGAGTTGACCATCTTCACCAAGGTTAGTGCACACTTAACATACACTGATAGATCCTGAGTTGACCATCTTCACCAAGGTTAGTGCACACTTAACATACACTGATAGATCCTGAGTTGACCATCTTCACCAAGGTTAGTGCACACTCAACATACACTGATAGATCCTGAGTTGACCATCTTCACCAAGGTAAAGGCACAATTAACATACACTGATAGATCCTGAGTTGACCATTTTCACCAAGTTAGTGCACACTTAACATACACTGATAGTTCCTGGAGGGCAGTAATGATGGGTGTGATGATATTGATATTATGTTATTATGTTTTAATAGTAATATATAATAGAACACTTGTAATGCGCATTTATCCATGAATGATTGCATGCTCACAGTGAGAACAGGCTTGAGAGAAGAAATAGGTCTTAAGTTGTGATTTAAAAAGAGTCTGTAGAGTCTCTCAGCTATTGTGGCAGGCTGTTCCATAGTCATATTATTATGGTTTGAAGTAGCCAATTTTCCTCATGAAATAGTTGACATGCCTATAGAAGAAACAATCAATTATATTTCAAGTTATCATATTACTAGTCCTATGGTTCTACTGGTATTATTAACAAAATTATATCCTTCTGCTGGTTTGAAATTTTCCTTTCTGTATATGTCCAAGTGGACATTAAAACACAACACCTGTCTGCAATAGTAACAAGATATTTACTGTTAAAGTGTGATTTGGGGGAAAATGCTGGAGAGACACCAAAGGCTTTATCTCTACCGAAAATGCCACAGTGTTTCAATACAACAAGAAAATTGTATCTCCACACTCCATTTGGATTGTTTTTGTTTGTTGTTTAATGCCGCACTCTTCAGTAGTCCAGCCGCAATCTGTAAATAATCGGGTCTGGACTAGACAATCCAGTGATTAGCAGCATGAGCATAGATCTATGCAATTGGGATACGATGACATGTGTCAATCAAGTCAGCGAGCATGACTATTTGATCCTGTTAGTCACATCTTATGACAAGCATGGGTTGGTGAAGACAAATTCTAACCCGGATCTTCAAGGGTACCACACTCCATAAACTGTTGTATCAACTATGTTGCTGCCATCACATACAAGGTCCATGAAGACTAGCACACAAGTGGTGATAGCAACTATGTTGCTGCCATCACATACAAGGTCCACAAAGACTAGCACACAAGTGGTGATAGCAGCAGCTATGTTGCTGCCATCACATACAAGGTCCACGAAGACTAGCACACAAGTGATGATAGCAACTATGTTGCTGCCATCACATATGTTGCTAGCCATCACAGCTATGTTGCTACAAGGTCCACGAAGACTAGCACACAAGTGGTGATAGCAGCTATGTTGCTGCCATCACATACAAGGTCCACGAAGACTAGCACACAAGTGGTGATAGCAACTATGTTGCTGCCATCACATACAAGGTCCACGAAGACTAGCACACAAGTGGTGATAGCAACTATGTTGCTGCCATCACATACAAGGTCCACGAAGACTAGGACACAAGTGGTGATAGCAACTATGTTGCTGCCATCACATACAAGGTCCACGAAGACTAGCACACAAGTGGTGATAGCAACTATGTTGCTGCCATCACATACAAGGTCCACGAAGACTAGCACACAAGTGGTGATAGCAACTATGTTGCTGCCATCACATACAAGGTCCACGAAGACTAGCACACATAAGTGGTGATAGCAACTATGTTGCTGCCATCACATACAAGGTCCACGAAGACTAGCACACAAGTGGTGATAGCAACTATGTTGCTGCCATCACATACAAGGTCCACGAAGACTAGCACACAAGTGGTGATAGCAACTATGTTGCTGCCATCACATACAAGGTCCACGAAGACTAGCACACAAGTGGTGATAGCAACTATGTTGCTGCCATCACATACAAGGTCCACGAAGACTAGCACACAAGTGGTGATAGCAACTATGTTGCTGCCATCACATACAAGGTCCACGAAGACTAGCACACAAGTGGTGATAGCAACTATGTTGCTGCCATCACATACAAGGTCCACGAAGACTAGCACACAAGTGGTGATAGCAGCAGCTATGTTGCTGCCATCACATACAAGGTCCACGAAGACTAGCACACAAGTGGTGATAGCAACTATGTTGCTGCCATCACATACAAGGTCCACGAAGACTAGCACACAAGTGGTGATAGCAACTATGTTGCTGCCATCACATACAAGGTCCACGAAGACTAGCACACAAGTGGTGATAGCAACTATGTTGCTGCCATCATCACACAAGGTCCACGAAGACTAGCACACAAGTGGTGATAGCAACTATGTTGCTGCCATCACATACAAGGTCCACGAAGACTAGCACACAAGTGGTGATAGCAACTATGTTGCTGCCATCACATACAAGGTCCACGAAGACTAGCACACAAGTGGTGATAGCAACTATGTTGCTGCCATCACATACAAGGTCCACGAAGAGACTGTGGTGATAGCAACCATGTTGCTGCCATCACATACAAGGTCCACGAAGACTAGCACAAGTGGTGATAGCAACTATGCTGCTGCCATCACATACAAGGTCCACGAAGACTAGCACACAAGTGGTGATAGCAACTATGTTGCTGCCATCACATACAAGGTCCACGATGACTAGCACACAAGTGGTGATAGCAACTATGTTGCTGCCATCACATACAAGGTCCACGAAGACTAGCACACAAGTGGTGATAGCAACTATGTTGCTGCCATCACATACAAGGTCCATGAAGACTAGCACACAAGGACAAAGTACTGTGACTATGTGTCCCTGTCCACCCAGCTGTGAATGGGTACCTCGTTAGGATGAGAAGGCCACAATAACTCGGTGCGCCTAGTGGCTGCAAGAGTTGAATGATCCCCAGGGAGTTGAGATTGATAACACGATGTGCCATTGAGACTGACATCCAATGATTGAGGGAAAAAATACCAGCGCTTTGAGCATGCACTAGTTGCCTGGATATGTGCGCTATATAAATATCATATAATAATAATAATAATCACATACAAGGTCCATGAAGACTAGCACACAAGTGGTGATAGCAACTATGTTGCTGCCATCACAAACAAGGTCCATGAAGACTTGCACATAAGTGGTGATAGCAACTATGTTGTATGCAAATTTGCATGTATCAGGCTTCAGGATCAGAAGAATTGCTCAGGCTCTTCAGCTTTGGACCTAGGGATAATGCTTCAACACCTGTTATAAGACTGTAGAGCAGGCAGAAATACAGTTGTTTTCTCAGACCTTCCTAAGTTAGCTGGTATTGTAGAAATACTTGATTTTGAAGTAATCCAAATAAACTTTGAAAGGGACAGATGCTAATGTTCAAGTATGTCTCATTTGGGACAAAAACCAACAATTAGGTGAAGACTATCAAAGGTTCCTATTCAGAGGTTCACCTCTTTCTTCTGGTGCATGATTAAACAGCTAATTTGTCCATTTCCTGCTCCTAATTGGTTCTTGGGAGTGAGGAAAAAGTAGAGGTTCTGCCTCACGTACAGCATCTGCCAAAACAACAGATCTCTGACATCCTCAGTGGCACTCCAAACTATACTTCAGTAGGTTATTCATTGTGAAATATTTTGGTGAAGAGAGAAAACCATTGCCAGCTACTGTCAGAGGGATCCCTATGTGGAAGAATGGAGTGTATTCATCTGTTTGGTCCGCTAATAATTTTGTATCACTTGACAGTTACACATTCACAGACTCACACTGTTTATGTCATGACTATTGTTCCTGAGTTGACCATCTTCACCAAGGTTAGTGCACACTTAACATACACTGATAGTTGCTGGAGGGCAGCAATGATGGGTGTGATGATATTGTTGAGGAAGTCATGGAGTATATTGTTTTAGTTTTTTTTCATGAACTGGACTATTTTCATGCATCATTGACAAGTCACCACTGAGCACTGATCAGATATTTCCATCATGTCACAGTGTTACAATAACTAATGGTTGCTCTGTGACTATGCTGCAAGTTCCAATCTGCCCACATGTCCAATCTGGATATCCAACTGAGTGCTCTTTCCAATTTTATATAATTGTGTAATTTAATTTTATATGTATAGAGTAGATGAAATAACAAATATGGCAACAGATATGTCTGGTGCTTTTATGGTGAAAAGAAAGTAACAGCTAAATGTATTTGTAGATGATATGCACCCCCTTCTACACACAGCTGTATTTTCTGGAAAAGATACATACACAATAAAATACAAACGTAAGCTATTGGGTGCTCAAACATTACTTGCAGATTCGTTTTGACATTTAAGATTGAAAAGCTTTTAGGAAATGAGCAGTTGTACGGACTAGCAATCACCTTGATTGTGTATGAACTATATAATCCTGTTCCCATGGCAGATGAGCCGTGTGGCCCTGTAGGGGTATAGCTGTTATGATCATGTTGCCATTGATATATTTCAGTTGTTTGATGAGATGCACCTTCTCGGAGGAAGTGGCAATGACTCTTTCCTTGGACAGATGCTATTTCAAGATCCTTCAATTGATCTTACAGTTGCAAGTATTTTGAAGTAAGTTGAACAGACAAAATAAAATAAGTATAACATATATATATACATGTATGAAGAAAGTGATGAGAATACCGAGCGTACAGTACTACATATATAAGAAGAAGTTTCTGAAATAATCACACGACACGGATCTTCTCCAACATGTTTCACTTTTATCTTCAGGGAGAAGTGATTACATTTAAACGGATATGTTATGACGTCACAATGCAACTGTATACAAATGTTGTGACGCGGCGTTGCCATGACGTCACATTGGCGGCTTTACATTGACAGTACTAGTAGCACAATGAAAACAAGTATAATTCAAACACATTGCTGTACTATTTAAAGATGGACACAATTCTTTAATGAAAATTTTTTCTTTAGCTTTACGCTGCATGAAAGGGAATATTTTAAATTTTATTTCCTTTCCTGCTGCGCATTTGTTGATGTGAGCACCTAAGGGGATGCACCTTGTTTTGGGGTCCTTAATTTGTTGTTTATGGACGCGCATTCTGTCCCTCAAGCACTCCGTTTGTCCAATGTATTCTTCATGACACCCTTGGCGTATAATAACATAAATAATATGTTTTGCGGAGCAGTCCATGTTAGAGCGTACATGAAATAATTGTTTCCTGTTTTTGAACTTTATACTTTATACAGTTTCAAGTATATATTCACAAGTTCCACAAATTCCCCGTTTACATTTTGAGACTCTGAATTCTGTAGGTGTCGAATTTGGTATGTGTATATATGTGTGTGTGTGTGTGTGTGTGTGTGTGTGTGTGTGTGTGTGTGTGTGTGTGTGTGTGTGTGTGTGTGTGTGTGTGTGTGTGTGTGTGTGTGTGTGTGTGTGTGTGTGTGGTGCGTTGCGTGCGTGCGTGCGAGCATAACCCAAAACTGCATACTATAAAAGTTATTGGAAAAGTTAGTAAAATAACCCTAAATAAACATACAGCAAAGCACTTTGCATGAGATTTCATGTCACGTATCGCACTTTTGCACGTGCACTTTGTGCTCATTGAATTTACTCACACTCACTTTTTGCATATATTTTGACACCTGAACTTCACACACCTGATATTGAAAATTGAAGAACGTTTGATTATTCACTAGCCTCTGAATGTTGTGGAAAACACATTAATTTCAACCTAAACTGCTCAAACGTCACCAATAGCATCACCGGTACAGGAGACAAGGTTTGAATGGTGTTTTGTTCACTGATGAGTAGTGATTTAATCTGGACAGCTCATATGGCAGGACAAGGGTATACAGACGGCGAGGTGAACGGCATTCTGATGCGTACATTGTTTTGTGTCGACAGTTTGGTGGCAAAAGCGTTATGGTATGGGGGAGCATCACATCTCATCGTCAGACAGAACTTGTCATTGTCAATGGCAATCTGACAGGTCGCGATACAGGGATGAGACCATTGGGCCTCATGGGCCGTTCATTCAAGGACAGAGACGTATTTTCCAATGTTGACTGTTAGACATGAGTTTTCACAAAACTGTTTTTTACATTAATTTGATCTTGCAATCCAGTAATCATGGGCTATAAAGCATTACAATATCATTATAGCAGTGAAAAAAACTGTACCGTATCTGGATTTAATCATATACCTCCTTGGCATTTATCTACCTGTTCCATGGCTAATTCATTTATAATGAAAGAAAAAGAGGAAGGGGTTTAATATGCTTCTTTTTTTAACCCCTTAAGTACATTCAAATTTATTACTGATATTACTGTTACATCAATCCAGAGCTTTGATTTCCACATAGATACATGACAATAATTTTGGCATTTTATAGCTGAGAACATGTTTTTTAAGTATGAACCAAAATTTATCCTGCTGGACAGTGAATGCCTTACTAAAGTCTACCAAAACTGTGTACAGTTTTTCTCCCTTCTTTGAAAGATATCATTGAATTACCCAATATAAAATAAAATAATATACAAAAATATTATCTGTAACAGTGTAACCTTCTCTGAAGCAAGCTTAGTATTCTGCTATTTTATTGTCAGAATCAGCCCCAGACACATGTGTATGAGTGGCATAATCCTGTGCACCTGTGGCCAGTCTCTCACTTTACACAAGCTGTCTCCCAATTGAAGGGGGTTCTTCCTTGTGTTCGTTGACATGATGGATTAGTTATTGACAGTTATCTCCAACTAAACAGAGTTGTATGTTCTTTCAACTTCAAAGAAGTTCTCAATCCTGCAAACATTCCAAAATGAAACTTCTTGATAGTTCTTTCATTTATCTCCTTTCCATGGGAATAGTTTAACCTTTCACAAATTCATCCAAAATTAAGATGGCTGCCTTAATGTTAGCCATAGAGACATGAGAGTTTCTGAACTACACATCCTGGACTACTGCAACTTAATCATGATAAGGATGGGAAATTTGTCATGAAACACTCTGGCTGACTTGGTGGCTATAATCACCATGGTTGCCCTGACTAGTTTCTATGTCCCTTGCATGCTCTGATGTTCTATTAGCACTGGAAAAGATTGTTCAGCTGACAAGGGCATCATGAAAAAAACATTTACACAAGTCAACAATAATGCAAGCTGTAGAAAAACACTGAATCCTCACACAAGTCATTTTGATTGAAACCCTCTAACGATCATGTTTCATCAAATTCTGATCTGAAAATCAGTCTTAATATTAAAACTTGTTGTTTATTGTTTCAGAGACTGCAAATCAGGTAAAGCGGCTTACACAGCCTTCAAACTGGAAAACTTCAAAGACTTTAATATCACAGCTCTGGTTGACTACAAGAGTGTAAGTATGCCGATGGCCCATGTTATGTGTAAAGAAGTGTGTACCATGCAAAATATATAATGTAAGACAATATAAATCAATATGTGTTCTTGAATACACAATACTTTTCAGAAGATGGTCATATGTTAGTAAAGTACAAATTCTAATACTTTTGAGTTTGAACCCAATCTGGGAGGTGACGAGGAAACGATTCAGATTTAGTCTCAAAAGGGAGGGGTGGATTTCATTTCCGGAGCACAGCTCAAAAACCATTCAATATCTTTCAAAAGAACTTGGCAGATATATGACACAGATCTTGAAGTGGTGCCTTTTGCTATTTACAGATTTGGGGCATTCTTATTTTTTCTTAGTCTCAAAAGGAAGGGGTGGGCTTCGTTTCTGGAGCATAACTTGAAAACCGTTCAATATCTTTCAACAGAACTTGGCAGATATATGAGGCAGATCTTGAAGTGGTGCCTTTTGCTATTTACAGATTTTTGTGATTTATTATTTTCTCAGTTTCCATGGAAACGATTCAGACTTAGTCTCAAAAGGGAGAGGTGGGCTTAGTTTCTGGAGCACAACTCGAAAAAACGTTCAATATCTTTCAACAGAACATGGCAGATATATGAGGCAGATAAAAGTGTGGCCTTTTGCTATTTACAGATTTTTGGTATTTATATTTTTCATGATTTCCATGGAAACGATTTGGACTTGGTCTAAAAAAAAGAATCAAGCTCGACTTTAAGTAACTGTCAGATGATTTTTTCTTTCAAATATGTGGGGGCTGGGGGGATATTTCATATTGTAAAGACTCTTGTTTGTTATTACTTTCCAAGTATTAATACATCGTGAAATGATTTATTGCATTTCACAATTATATTTTTGAAATAATTATATTAGTACTATGTATAATCATTGTATGTATTATAAATAAGGTTTAAATTGAATAATTAAAATCTTTACTAAAAAATATGAAAAAAACCCCATTATTTCTAACAAATTTCAATGACTGGAGTAGTTTGTTAGCTCCAGGTAAACACATCAAAGAGTATCTGATGATTGTATTTCTTCTTCTTCTTCTTCTTCTTCTTCTTCTTCTTCTTCTTCTTCTTCTTCTTCTTCTTCTAATTCTTCTAATATGTCCATACAAGAGATGGGGGCGTTAAGTCGACTTATAACCCAAGCCTTCTGCTCTCCTATGTTGTTGAAAGTGACATTCAACCTCTGTTCTAGTCTTTATTCTGCAAAGTTGTATCAAGCACAGATCTGAAATATATGTTCATACCAGCCACAACAATACAGGTTTATTAACAATGTGTTTCTTATTTTGCAGAGCTTGGACATAGATGGACAGCTGAATGGAATAAATGTGGATCTATCCAGTCTCACTGTACTCACACCAGAAGTGCACTCACAACTTGATGATTTCTCCTCTACGGTCGCTGGAATACAATCTTCCAATTTTGATATGGTAAATATTTAGAGAGTGTGTGCATGCATCCGTGCTTGCACACTTTATTCTCGTTAGCACAGAGACTTTCTCACATATTACTTTCTCTTTATTGCTAGTTTTTGTCAGAAGCCAAAATTTATGCCACATCTTGTGACCTTTTACTTTGGTAAATATCGACCAAATTGCTTTTACCATTCATCCATTAGCATAAAATATTTTCTGTATAGAACTGTGGAAGAGTGATTTTTTTATAGCTACATTTAAAACTCTGGTGTTATAGAGTGAAAAACAGGGGAAAACAAATGATCCTTGAAAAGGCAAAAAAAACCACTGTAACCTCTCAATATGTTGGTTAAACTGCAGAGAAACAAAAGAAGAACCACATGTACATAGATGGAATGTGACGACAGTCAGGACTAAACGTACATATATAGATTAGAAAAGCTGGAATCCAGACATTCACAATAAGACAAAAATTGTCCTTTCATATTCTTTTGATGTTACTGACAAGAAATTGAGAGTATTGACACAATCACACAAGGAATCATAGATGACAATCAGAATATTCCGCCATTTTCAGTTACTTATTTTATCAGTTATGATGGGAGAGAATGGCTTGTCTAATAGAGAAGCATGACATAATTTTATTGCACGCTATCAGTCTGATGACCTTCTTGTAAAGCATGTTAAAACTCAGTAAGAAAACAAGACATTCCTCCATTTTCATGTTGACACAATCTCAACGTGGATGTTGATTTTGTTGATGGTTCAGTATGGTTAGATGTAACAGCAATGAGTGTCCACCAAGCAAAGTGCAGACAGTTTTTCAAGGGAAGCTTCTCAGATCACCCATTGCACTGAGTAATTTCTTTGAGTGGCATTTATAAGTTGGCATTATGAACAACTTTGTTTAAATGAAGTTGGCAGGCATGAAAAGTGAAACTGAAGGCTTTCTGTTTGCTACTCATGATCAGGACCAGTCACTTCCCACCTGTAGCAATCAATGTGTGATTTTGCATCAGATGTTTCATATACTATGCTGCAATTTTGAGAAATCATCCCCTAACTACCAATGCTGGAAAATACAACTCATTCAATTTTCAAGTTTCATTTCCATGGCAACCTAACAAAAACAGTCTTAGATCCAGGATGGTGGCAAAACTGCTGAATTAAGCACTTTTATAGCCTAGTTGAAAGTGATCAGCTAACAGAGTTGGAGATATATAATTTTTTATGCTGTTTATTCCAGTCAGTCATTAATCCCATATGACAATCAAACATTGCTACGTTTGATAAACAGCTAAGAACATGACATGGTCAAGGTCTGATGCTGATGCCTCGTGCCTGTTTGCAATTCTCTGTTTGGAGACAGCACTGATACGTCTTTTGTAAATTTGTATAATTTGTTCTACTAGAATCCAATATGGCCGGTAAACAAATCTGCAGTCACCTGTCCCAAAGTCTACAGTTCACAAAATGAGACAAACTAAACATATTTGCTAGATCTTGCTGAGTTGTACCAGTTTCCTGCATGCTGGGAGCCTTCACCACATTAAACATCATATGAAGATGTTGTGGATGAACAGTGCTGTGGCAGATCAGCCCAACCACAATCTTTGATGGTGGATGTCATGGAAAGGAATTTGTCTTTGTCCCATTCAGACTTGGATGAAGTGAGTACAGTGATCAACTTTGGACATCCTAGTAACTGTTCCTCTGTCATCTGGTATTCCCGTTACTGAGACATCACCTTGCTCATGGATTATTGGATGCTCCCAACTGAGGGCATGGCGCTCATACTGACAGTCTACTTATCCTCACTGTCTAAAGATCCAAGTGATTACTGCTGGTTATCGCTTTCAATGTGCAGATCGATAATCAGAACTCAGTGAGCAATCAATAATCAATTGTAATCATAAACCCCACCACAAAATCCATGTGGTCAATAATGGGACACAATCATAACATTGTACAAATGAAACAGGCACCAAGTAATACCACGATGTTTGAGGACACTTTCAGTTGAGACATGCATGCAAGTATGTTGCTTACGTTACAGTTTTACATGTCATGAAAATGCATCAGTTGTTTATGCCTTGATTTATCAAACATAACAATATGAAACATACTTGCTGAAATTATTTTAATGTTTCATTTTGTTTGAATATTGATTAGTCTCCCAAGGTCATCAGTAATAGCTGGCGCACACAAGATAATACCATCAAGAGGGGGACCACAAACAAGTTCACACAGTCAGTAGTGAGTGTGGCCATCTTGTGCACCTCATTAAGGCCAGTAAACTACTATGAAATTCTGGAAATTATTCCATATCTGAGGAATGATTTAGTAGAATTCCTGCAGCATTGTTGGAGGATTTGGAGTACAGCGTAAACATGGCTTCATTTCATCCGAGATGTGTTTAAAGGGTTACAAAAATATCTTGATCTTGTGGGCCAGGGTAAAACATTCACATTTTTCTCATTGAAATACTGCTGTACAGCTCAAGCAACGTGTGATCTTGTTAAAACGTCCCTCCAGGGCCGTCCTTGCTGCAACTGTTTCTCCACCCCGATCATGAGTTGCAAGGTTCAAATCCATCAGTCTGGACGTTGAGTCATTACTGGTAATCTACAACTTGATAGCTGAAAACATCACCAAAAGTTCCAAATGGTGTTTCCATGAACATTGTATCGACAAGCTGGATCATGCTATGAATGAAGCATACCTATAGCTTTCCATCTATCATTTTCTTTGGAAGGTTGAATGTCAAACTTGTTCTAGAAAAGTGAAAAGGTGTATTTCTGACCTCTGCACTTTTTGAGTCTTCTGGCTTTTGACTCTGAGGGTGTGGGTTCGAATCCCGGATGGGACTCAACCCCCCCCAAAAGTACTAGAATCTGTACTTTACTGAGAAAGTGTAATCCCAAATATAACATATGTTACATTTGACCACTTTCTAAAATGGCATTGTGTATTTCATAGCTTTCGGCCATAGGAGCCATGCCAATTAATGCTTATCAGAGGGGTACACAAAGTCCGCAGTCTAGACTACCAGTTGTTCGACTTCCATTTTTGTGGAAGCCACGGTGGCTGAGCTGTCTAGGCATGTGACTTTGTGTGGTGGCAATTAGGTGCCTGACTCTGAGGGTGTGGGTTCGAATCCCGGATGGGACTCAACCCCCCAAAAGTACTAGAATCTGTACTTTACTGAGAAAGTGTAATCCCAAATATAACATATGTTAGGCTTAAGAGCCTGTTATGCACATAGAAATTAGATAGAGTGATTGGTTATAATTTGTCCAGAGGATGTATTTCAGTCTGTGTTGCTTTTTGTTTCAGCTGAACAATGATACAGTTGGAACAAACTTGACTATTCTGGCTGAAGAGTTAAGGAATACCAGTTTGGTAATGTATGATTAGTTTATCACGAGGTTTCTTATAATTCTATGATAGTTTCACAAATATAACATGAATGTGCTGGTCCTTAAGAGTATTCATGATAGATTTTGAAGTTTTCATACATCTGTAGACTGATACATAATCCATTTCCTACACACTCAGTCATAGCCAGTGAATGTTGTATAACACCTTCAATGTTAAAGCTCTACTCTACCACCAAACATACCTAGTGTACATGGTATAGCACTTTCAATGTAAGGCTCTACTCCACACTCAAACATATCCAGTTAAAATGGTATAATACCTTCACACCTTCTGTTCCAAAACTTGGGTGGTCATCTCAGGTATTCTTGGTTGAGGATCTTCTGTTGATCCTTCTTGGATACCAGAAATACTGGAGCGGAGAACCCTAGCCCGGGATCTGTAGGGTTCAAAACGAAAGCTTTCTTGTCTTTCCCAGTCATCGGCTGCCGAAAACTTAGGGTCCCTAAGCTGATAGCGATGTCCCACTAGGCATGTCATCAAGGATAATCCATTGGTAAACTGAAGACGGTATCCCTCTTTAATGACTTTGAGGATCCACGCTTTGATAAATGGCTGCCCGCTGGACCCAGGAATACCTTCACTGGAAAGGCTGGCATCTATTTCGATATGAGCTGTGTGTCCTTGCTGATGCTGTCGGCAGAGTCAACCTTATTCTTGGGTTGCCAAACTTCCTGGCCAAGAAGGTCTTGCCTCTGGCTGGTGTCTTGGGCTTGGCTCTAGTGAGATCCTCTCCCCAAAATCCACTCCCTGTGGGGCTCTGCACGATAGGGTTTGCTTTGCTGGAACTTCATGTGTGAAGAGGAAACTGATCTATGAAACTTCCTAACCTCTTCTGACTTAAGTACTTCCAGCTCTTCTTCACACTTGCCATCTAAAAAAACTGCTGGACATATTAATCCCTTTGTAAGATAGTGAACTGTGCTAAGAAATTCACCAACAGAGCTTGTGAGTCAAACATCGCTTTGGTGTACCAGTGTAGTATCTGGGATTTGTCAGATATGGTAGCAGTATCTGACAGGTTGTGCATCCCATGCTGCTTGCCAATCTGCAGTGAGAACAATTTCTAGGGTAAAGCTGAACATAGTAATGCGTATGGTCTGTGCGGCTGGTAGTAACAGGTTGCTCTTTCACCTTACTGGCTGAATTCCTTTCATCTGAAAGGCCTGTGAGGTCCATATGGCTAGAGTGGTCCATGCGGTCTGAGATGAGGGCTGGAGGGTAGATTGCTCAGCAACTCGGTCAGTGTGTCCTCTGAGGTCCATGCTGCTGGTGTGGTCTGTTCAGCAACATTTAAGTCATGCCGAATGGGAGATCAAGCCACCACTACTAAGAAACCAGTTCGCTGCTGAGTTGAAATCAGGGGTGCCTGGGTATTCCTCCGCAAAGGTGATAGTTGCTGCCCCGCTCGGCTCGGCTCAGCTCGGGCCACACTGCGGCGCCAGAAGAACTCATTTACTTGCAGACAATGACTCTTCCCTCACAGAGATTGTATGCATTCAAACTTTTTTATAAGAATATTTCTGAATTACTGTAAAGAGATGGGACCTTGAATTGAATTACCTTACTCTACGTGGATCGGAGACGAAAACTATGTGAGAAGAATAGTGACTTTCTGGAATATTGGACGGAGTGTATTTCTTAACTATGAGAACATTATAAATTTGTTTTAAATTTTTGTTACAACATAATTTGTTTACATGTAGTGGAGGTACATTGGTACATTTTAGGGAGTAATAACATAACTGTCATTTTGATTAATTCACTGGACATGATAGCAAGGTATGTTTTAAGAATCTTGTGTCCTTTAGTAAATGTGGAAAGGTAATCAAATAAATAATAATTTTATCAATTATAAATAATTACTTAATTGACTGACATATCAAATTCATGTGATTTTAAGGCAGAACTTGGCAAACAAACACTATACATATACTGTATACGTATCATGGCAGAACAATCACTTGGTACTAACTAACTTGTTGGCTCCTGCTTAAAGATATCTTTGGTTTTTATGCCCCTGCCATATATGGCTGGGGGCATATAGGGTTACCCTCGGTGTCCATCCATCCGTACGAAACAGGGAATGTATTCTATCCACTTCTCCACCATAACCGCTCTGTGGAATTCAATGAACTTATACATGGGCTTTCTTCGAACTCTAATGGTGTGCATCTCACATTTTGTTTTTTTATTTTATTGTTTTTTTTTGGTAAGTTTAGGGACATTTGAACTTAAGTACATTTTGCTGAATTTCTCTATGATGATAGTGTAATAGGGGATGAAGTCTATCCACTTCTCCACAAAAACTGCTCACAGAATTGAATGAACTTCTACATGTCTTTTGTAGGGACTCTAAAGGTGTGCATTTCATAATTTTTTATGCAATTTCTTAATTTTGTCACTTTTACAGATGTTTGAACTTAGTTGAATTTTGTTCTATTCAGCCAGTGTTCGTTCCATCCAACAGGGGGTGTACATTATCCACTTCTCCTCAAAAACTACTTTATGGAATTCATTTAGATTACACATGTGCTTTATAGGGACTCTAAAGGCTTGCATCTCATATTTTGATTTTGTATTATATATATTTTTCCAATTTTAATGCTGTTTGAACTTACATAAATTTTGTTGAATTTCTCTCTGAATATAGTGTTGTAGGGGAGTGAAGTCTATCCACTTCTCCACAAAAGCTGATCAACAGAATTGAATGAGCTTCTATGTGTGTTTCATTAGAACTCTAAAGGTGTGCATCTCATACCTTGTTTATGCAATTTCTTAATTTTGTCACTTTTACAGATGTTTGAACTTAATTGAATTTTGTTCTATTCAGCCTGTTCGTTCCATCCAACAGGTGGTGTACGTTATCCACTTCTCCTCAAAAACTACTTTATGGAATTCATTTAGATTACACATGTGCTTTATAGGGACTCTAAAGGCTTGCATCTCATATTTTGATTTTGTATTTTATTTATTTTCCAATTTTAATGCTGTTTGAACTTACATAAATTTTGTTGAATTTCTCTCTGAATATAGTGTTATAGGGGATGAAGTCTATCCACTTCTCCACAAAAGCTGCTCAACAGAATTGATTGAGCTTCTACGTGTGTTTCATTGGAACTCTAAAGGTGTGCATCTCATACCTTGTTCATCCAATTTCTTAATTTTGTCACTTCTACAGATGTTTGAACTTAGTTGAATTTGGTTCTATTCATCCTGTTCATCCCATACAACTGGGGGTGTACTTTATCCACTTCTCAAAAACCACGGCACAAAACTCATTTAGCTTACATATGTCTTTTATAAAGACTCTAAAGGTGTGCATCTCATATTTTTGTTTGTATTTTATATTTTTTTGTATGTTTAGAGACATTTGAACTTAGATAAATTTTGTTGAATTTCTCTCTGATAATAGTGAAATAGGGGATTAGGTCTATCCACTTCTCCACAAACAAAAACTGCTCAACAGAATTGATTAAGCTTATACGTGTGTTTCATTGGGACTCGAAAGGTGTGCATCTCATAGTTGCATAGATGTTTATTGAACTTGTTCGTGAATTTTGTTCAAGTATTGATCTTTATATGATAATAGGTTGTGTTATCTAACCCCTCAACACATTGTTTTTAGTGTTTTCAAGTACTTCAGTGAGACGCTGAATGTGTGAACTCTTCTTACAGCAGCGGGGGCATCCGTGTCCCTGGACACAATGTTTTCTTGTTTAAATAATATATTTACTAAGAAGATTATTCTGAAAGTGATTACTAGTATCATAACTCATAATAAAGTTATTTCAACATCCAGAGAATTGCAAAAACAAAGGCTACGTTTGGGTCACACCCTGGTCAGGCATTATTCAGTCTTGGAACAAAATAACTTACAAAATTCTCAGTTGACTATTCATGTAACTGGAATGAATATTGAAACATACATTTAACCCAGATTTGCTGTAATACTTCTTAGAAATCATCAGCTTTTGAGGAGGTTACCAATTTTTGAAGACTGAGCCAAAGTAGTGTTTATTAAGATGTTGGTTTTGGACAAATTGTTCAAGGTTTGTTCATGATTATTTGGAAAATGAGCTTCATGTTAAATTGCACATTCATAGTTTGCAGGACATTTTCATGTGTGTTTTCCTAAACTTTTGTTATGACTTTTACTAAATTTTGAAATAATTTTAATATATTTTTGATGACACTAGTATCCCTTAGGGATATGGTCTCAGATCTAATAAAACAAAGATTATCATTGTTTAAGAAACAATAATGTCAATATGTAATTTTATTGACAAAAATCTTTGAATATAGGATGTATTCTTTGTACCTTATTTACATTAGTAGTTAGCAGTTAAATATCTCTGAAGAAAAAGCAGTATATTTGTATTTTGTGTAACATTCTATTTCAATCCTAGTTAATTGTTTGGATAACTGTGGATCATCTGTTCAAAGATTTTGCATCACAGGTTTTCTATTTCTGGAAGATGGGTCAGTGTACAGGTACAGACTGTATCCTGGATCTCCTTTGTGTTCTGGTGCTGTGACATACCTGTACATAAATGCTGGCAGTTCATGAAGTCCAGTATTGTGGAAGTTTGTAAATTAGGATTCCACTACAAAGTACACATAGAAAAATAAATTGGATAAGAGGATTAAAAAATGGATTTCCTTATATTCAGCGTCAGTTTAGGATGGTGTTACAGACTTTGAAGAGGGAAATTTTACTGAGAATTGCTGCAGATTAGCCGCTGAATATTTGCTTCTGATACCCGACAAAGGTTCCCATTTGGCATTTCTTGGGTCTGGAGTAAACACTCATCATTATAAATAAAAGTCTGATGTGGAAAATGTATTACATGTTATGTAATATACGAGTGGAAGTGCAGCTAGAAGAATTATCAGCCGAGTTACAAAAACAAACATCGATTTCTGCCACGGAATCGAGGTGGGGGTCGAAGTGACAATACTGC